TGTTCAAGGAAGACGAGAAGTGTGAGCTTGAGGTTGACGGGGAGGTAGTTCTTGTGGCTCGGAAAGTGACGAGGGTCTATGTGGTCAACCGAGCGGAGAAGGAGACGTGCTTCCTTGTAAAGGAGCCGGAAACGGCGGAGCTGTGGCACCGACGGTTGGGACACGCCGGGTACAAAAACTTGGCGAAGATGGTGCAAAGGGACCTTGTGGAAAAGGAAAGGGTGAAACCGAGTGCGTTCAGGGCGCTTGAAACCTCGGTGTGTGAGCCCTGCATTGTGGGGAAGCAAATTAGGCTCCCTTTTCCGGAATCCGACTCGGTGAGCACGGAGCCTCTTGAGCTAGTCCATATGGACGTCTGCGGGCCAATGCGGTAGCCTCGGTAGGGGGAAGCCTGTACTTTGCAACGTTTTGGACGATTACAGCAAACTCTCGGTTGTAGTCCCTATGAAGCAGAAAAGCGAGGTGGCCAAGATCACAGAGCACATGATCAACCGGTTGGAGTTGCAATCGGGAAGCAGCTCAAGTCGGTGCGGACGGATCGGGGCAAGGAGTATTTCAACAAGGTCCTAGAAGAGGCTTTCGGGGGCAAGGGGACAATCCACGAGAAAACCGCCCCCTATAGCGCCGAGCAGATTGGGACGGCGGAACGGCTTAACCGGGTTCTGGAGGAGAAGACCCGGCCAATGCTTGAGGACTCGGGGTTGGCCGAAGAGTTGTGGGCGGAAGCCGTGGTGACGGCCAACCACACCCGGAACCGGACGCCCGTGAGCGCCCATGGGAGGACTCCCTGGGAAGTTTTCTTTGGTGAAATGCCAATGTGGGCATATGAGGGTTTTTGGGGCCCAAGCGTTCCACCACGTGCCCAAGCAGCGGAGGCGTAAGCTAGATCCGGTGAGCGAGCTATGTGTGTTCGTGGGGTACGAGCCGGACTCGAAGGCGTACAGGTTGCTCAGAGACCGTGCCGGGAAGTTAATTATCTCCCGGGACGTCATACACTTTGACGAGGGGATCGGGGAAGACGGGGTTGTCGAGCTTGGCTCCGACCCCACGGACGGTTCCCAGACGGCGGAGGGTCCCGGCGCACAGGTTCACACGGAGGCCCATGAGGGGCTAAAAGTTGAATCTCTGCGCGAGGGCGACGCGGCGCGCGCGCGCCCGACGACCCGCGGCCGCCGCGCGCGCTTTCACAAACGGGCCAAAATGAGGGCAAGTTTGAAACTGTGCGCGAGACCAGCAGAGCCGGAACAGATTGAGGAGGATATCGGGAGGCAAAAACCGGCTGCCCAGAGGTACCCCGCGCGCGAAAGACGCGCATCGGGGGAGTGGTACCGCGCTAACTTAGCGGCGGAACCGAAGGCGGGGGAGCACCTCAAAGGGACGGGGAAGCACCTAGACCTGCAAAGCTATCAGGAAGCCATAGGGGGAGAAGAGAGTGAACTATGGCGGAAGTCGATGGACGAGGAGATGCGGTCCTTGTTGGAGAATGGGACTGGGGAGCTCGTCAAAAAATCGGAAGGGGTCAAGCCGGTTCTCATAAAGTCGGTTTACAAGATAAAGCGGGACGCTCTCGGCAATGTGGAGCGGTACAAGTCCCGGCTGGTGGCGAAAGGGTACTTGCAAAAGCAGGGAACTGACTTTGAGGAGGTCTACGTTCCGGTGAGCAAGCACACCACATTGCGTGCATTGTTGGCGGTGGTCGCTGAGCGCGACTTGGAGCTGCACCAGCTGGACGTTAAGACGGCGTTCCTCAATGAGGAGCAGGAGGAGGAGATCTACATGCAGCAGCCGCAGGGATACGAGCAAGGCGGGCCCAACATGGTCTGCCACCTCAAGCGCACCATGTACGGCTTGCGCCGGGCGCCGCATGCATGGTACATGCGCCTGAATGAGGAGCTCGGGAACTTTGAGTTCGTGGCGTCAATGGCAGACGCGGCGCTCTTCAAGGAGATAGTAGCCGGGGAGCGGGTTTACCTGGTGGTGTGGGTAGACGACATTCTAGTGGCGGGGCGGACCGCATTGCCAAAGTAAAGGCGCATTTGGGGGAGAAGCTCGACATGCGCGACCTGGGGGAGGCGAAATACTTCCTCGGCATCGAGCTCTCGCGCGATAGGAAGGCGCGCATCCTAAAGCTAACCAAAAGAAGCCGACGGGGGAGCTTGTCGGACGGTACGGACTAGCGAGCGCTCGGGCGCGCTCGGTCCCTCTCGGAACGGGGGACAAATTAACCAAAGAAGGTGAACCCCTCGACACAAAGCGGTTTCCCTACAGTGAGTGCGTGGGAAGCATGTTGTACTTGAGTGTGTGCACTCGGCCCGACATTGCACAGGCAGTGGGCGCGCTTGCGCGCTTTATGGCGAGGCCGACAGAGGAGCACTGGCGGGCGACGCTTGGAGTTGTGCGCTACCTGGCGGGTACGGGTGAGGACGGGGTGACCTTTGGGGGGAGCGGAGAGACTCTCATCGCTTATTGCGACGCAGATTACGTGGGTGACGTGGACACAATGCGGTCCACAACGGGTTTAGGGTTTTAAGGACGATTGGACTTTGGGACGGTCCTGATCTACTGCGACAACCAAAGGGCAATACGGCTCCTCAAGTACCCGATCGCTTCCCAGAGGTCGAAGCACATTGACATGATTTATCACTTTGCACGGGAGCGTGTGGCACGTAAGGAGGTCGCGTTCGCGTAATGCGAGACGGAGCACATGAAGGCAGACATCATGACCAAGGCCTTATAAACCGGGGAAGTTCAAGAAGTGCAAGAGCGAGATAGGAATTGCATAAGTCATTAGTGTGTGGGGGAGTGTTGAGATTCGGGCATTTAGTGTGCGCGATCTCTTGGGTGACGTCGACGAGAGTTCGACCATAGCCGGTAGTTAGCGATTGGCGATTAAATGCGCGCGGGTTACAGCGTTACACCCGAATGACTTATTAAGATAACCGCCGTAATGAGTAGGTCCGATAACAGCCGTAGATATTCAGATTTGCGCGAGATCCTTGGACTTGCTTATCCGCGGTCAACTGAGCCTACTAGGCTATCAGTGTAGACCCAGATCAGGAGTGTGACTCTACTTGAGTGAGTCTAGCTTAGCACACAGACTGCAGAGCTCTAGCGCCGCTAGACTCCAAACACTCGATATGTATTGTGCGAACTTGATCATCGATCATTCATTTTCAACAACGCCGTATCTCAACAACTTCTCTTTCTCGTGGGCTGCTGCCGCCCTCTGAAGCTGCCCTATTTGCTTGGTCTAAGCTAACACCTTTCTTTCGCTTCTCTCTAGCTGTTTCTTTAGACCTTTGTTCAAGTTTTTCAATGCCTCTATCTTATTCTCCTTGCTTGACTGGCTCCCTTCCGATGTGCGTGTCTCTATTTTTGACTAAGATTCTCTCTCTAATTTTGAAGCCTCCGGTTGCTCTACTCCATATTCGATTTCTGGATGATCGAAATCATAGCCCTCGACCTCCCTTCCTCCAGTTCTTATGCTGCATGTGTAGCTTTTTTGCATCATGATTTTCTAAACTATCACCCTCCAGAAAGTCGATGTTTTTTCTCTGGACTATCAAAGATTGTCCTTCCTCCGATTCCGGTGGTTTTCCGATTTTAACTAGCCCCTCTCCAAATCCCTCATTGCTAAATCCATCTTCTTTGCCTGAAATTCATCTTTAAACAAATTCCCAAACAATCTCCCTGTTTTTCGCTACTCTCCTTTGCTTCTGGCTCTTTGGGTGTTTCGACGCTTTCGTCCTGGGCGGTGGGTTTATTGGGAGCGAAGACAATCCCTTCCTCAGCTACTGCCACCCTCTCGTCCTGCTGCTGGCTGGTTTTTTGCGGCTCCATGACTGCTACGAAGCGAACCAATTTGTTTAAATTTCTAGATGTTGTACCACCAGTTTTTTTGGCGTTCCATTGCCTCCTTTTCCCTCGATCTTTAAAGCGGGCGTGTCCCGAGCTGCGTCCTCTTCTAGGCTAGCCGAATCTTTGCTTTGCACGAAAGACTCCAGCTCAATCGACGAAGTGCCCTGTTAGAATCACAATGCCGGGTCTTTCTATGGTGTGCCAACCTAGGAGCCGCTTCCTTTCTTACCGTTTTTGGCACCCATGCACCATCCTTATGTCAATCTGGTCGCCCTGCTGTTTGTCTTTGCTTGGCGCCGCTCTTTCTGATTAATACCTCCTTTCTCCCTGTCTCCTTACGGCTAATGGGTACCCGACATTGCTTCTTTGATCGAACGAGTTTCCATGAACCACTGAACCAGTGTGCACTGGCTGCTCTTTGAAAAGCTCGACTTTTACGTTCGACTCGTCGACTCGACAATACGAGGGATATATTGAATCTCGACCGATTTGCAACACCTCTGCCCTCCTGTTGCACTTCTCACTTTATTGGCATAGAACTAGCAGGACTGGATTCTCGAGGGCGCACACAGCCCGTAGGGTCAGGCGCTTGCGACGGGTATTCCTGCATGGCATTCGTTCAATGTTTTGTCGTTTGTGTTCCACATTGTGTTCAGTCCGCAACAAAATTCCAAACTCTCGCCATTTTTTGCTTTGTTTATTTTGGCCGCAGACTCGGAGTAGATAACGAGTACTTTCGCCGGATTTTGACACCGAGTCGAGCTCGATAATTCCAACTCCGACTGGATGCGTTGCAGACTCCTCTGCCATTTGACCGGAGATTAACCGGAGGAATGACAGACCGACCCCAACCCTCCGGAGGTCGCCAACCTCATATAACTGGCCTGTGCACCGAAATTCCCTTATCATTGGATTTTTAGGCACTAAATGAGACCCATGTCTCGCTATAAACCTAAGGCAAATAGGGTCTTCTATAGCCAAGAAGCTAGGAAAACACCCTTTATACCAACCGAAAGAACGTCCCTGCTCACTATCTGCATAGTGCACGGCACACATCAAATTTACGCAAAGGCAAGGTGGTGGCTGAAGAACCGTTGAGGATTTTCGGCTAAGGCAAGAACGGCTTTTCAAATTTCCCGGAAACCTTTTGATGAATGGATTCTTGGCGTGCCGTGGCTTCTATTTTCTTGGAATCATTGTGAAACTTCGAAAGTTCTCTATCAAGACTTAGAAAGCTTCTATCGGATGCATTTAGCTTGCAGTCATCGATTTATAAACTATTTCAATAAAACCAATATTGATCATATGTTGTCTGCAGCCCTCATTTACCTCACATGCAAATTCATTATCCTACGATGATTTCAGGTCTTCGTCTTTGAAGGTTCGAAAGCTGGTCACGACTCCCTTCCACGTCCTCCCATGCACAAGCTTATGGTGACGACACCCTCTACAAGCTATATAATGGGCCATACTCGATGTGGAAAATTCCTGAAAATCATTAAAGCTCTTTGTGCATGGCTTGAACCATGGATGAATAGGAGCGCTACAATTACACTGTCTGCTATGGACTTTGCAAATCAGCAACGTTAATATTAAAAGCTTGAAATGCCGACACGCATGACATATGGCTTAAATTGCAACTGTAGACATAGAATGAACTTGGGTACCACAGCATACATGTAAGCCTCAATGACAGTGTCTACCTTTTATCTGAGTAGGTACCGCTGTGGGTAACGTCATGCGATATCGTGCGACGGTAGCCAGGCAATTGTAGTTTTGAAAGTTTCATTTTTTTTTGCTTTTTAAGCGTGCAGAATACCTCTAGTCAAACTTTACGCCGCACACGTCAGAAAGTGCGTACTGCCCAGCGCGTTACAATTTGAAGGCTTCACAGGCTCAAAATTGAAGGACAAGCGTCGCGCTTTGGTTCAATTCGTCAAAATCCGATGGTCCACGAGAGGGTTGAAAAGTTTAACTTCAAGGTTTTCTTTTGGCGTTTGTGATTCGTTTTGCTCTGGCCGTGGACTAGTCGTTTCAATACCAGGATGCTTCCATTCTGGGCAAATTGAAGCGTTGGTAACTTTTTCTCCCGCTGCTTGTGAACCGTGAATATGTCTGGCCTTGTCGGTGTGAGCCACCACTCCTCGGAGTAGAGAAATCTTGGGATAGCAAGTTATTGCAGATGCGGCCGCAATCGGAACCGTGGTAGGCGAAGTGAGTTCGCTCGGAAAAGTGCTAAGGCACAATTTGATGTCTCGTTAGTCCTCTCCGTGACGAAAATGCGTTTGAGAAAGATCATCCCATGACCGCGGTCGAACTGGAGTTCACGACGACTACTTCGTGAAGCGCTGGGGTTGGGGGTTCGCAACTGTGTCGATGAAGCAATTGAAACTTTGTAATAAATCACAGCGTACTCGCACATGAAAGCTCTGGGACATTGTTCAAAAACTAGAAAGAAGAGGTTGATGTCCTTATGTGCTTAAGTGCGAAAACGCACGAGGTCGTCTGTGACGAAGGATTTTGCGGCGAAAGCCGTTGAAAGATCACTTGCGCTCGGCAGACGAAAATTCATGACATCTGATCTGCCTTGCTGGCGAGCGAAGGTGTGAAGAGCTTTATTCTTTATCCATAAAACCCTAGCTTGCCAAGATTGCCGCAGCATAAGTTTGTTGTTGAAACAGCATTGTTGGAAATGATATTCAATCAATCAAGTTCAGATAATGTATATGGAGTGTTTTGAGTCACGGCCGATCTCTAGATCTACACTCTGGCCTAGTGGCTCAGTGGACCGTCACCTAGTGAATCCGGAAATGTCGCTCTAAACCGTACATCGACGGATCTTATCGAACCTACACGACATCGACGGGTATCGCCGAGTCATTCGGGTGTAATGTTGTAACCCGCTGCGCATTTAACTGTGTAAATGTGACTACTAGCTACCGTCGAATTACCGTCGACGTCGTGATAATGAAATGCTAAAATCACCCAGCGATTCAGTCCCTAAATGCCCGTATCTCGACACTCTTCCACACTAATGACTATGCGATTCCTATCTCGCTCTTGCACTTTTGAACTTATCTGGTGCCAGTGCCTTCATTTCGTCCGTCTGGCAGTACGCGAATGCGACCTCCTTGCGTGCCACGCGCTCCCGTACAAAATGATGAATCATGCCAATGTGCTTCGACCGCTGCGTAGCGATTGGATGCTTCAGTAGCCGAATTGCCCCCTGGTTGTCGCAGTAGATCTGGACCGTTCCGAGGTCCAACTCGAGATCTCCCCGAGGTTGCGGATCCACAGCGCCTCCTTCACTGCTTGCGCTGCGCTCATGTATTCCGCCTCTACCGTCGAGGCCGCCACCGTTGGCCACAGTCTGCTCGACCAGCTCACCGCCCCCCTGTACATCAGGAAGGTGTAACCCATTGTGGACCCTTTCGTGTCCACGTCTCCAGCGTAATCCGCGTCATAAAAACCGACGAGAGTCTCATCGCTCCCCACGAGGTCACCCCGTCCTCCGCCGTCCCCGCCAGATAGCGCACAACGCCAAGTGTCGCCCGCCAATTCGCCTCCGTCGGCCCTGCCATGTAGCGCGCAAGCGCGCCCACCGCCTGTGCGATGTCGGGCCTCGTGCAAACACTCGGGTACAGCGGGCTTCCCACACTCGCTGTATGGAAACCGCTTTGTGTTGAGGGGCTCACCTTCCTTCGTTAACTTGTCCCCCGTTCCAAGAGCAACGCTACGCGCCCGCGCGTCCGCCAGTCCGTAACGTCCGACCAGCTCCCCCGTCAGCTTCTTCTGCGTCAGCTTCAGACTGCGTGCCTCCCTGTCGGGCGTCAGCTCCATCGCGAGGAAGTTTGTTGCCTTCTCCACATCGCGCACATCGAACTTCTCCGTCAAGTGCGCCTTCACCTTCACAAACCGCTCCTCTCCACATGCCTCCACGAGGATGTCGTCCACCCACACCACGAGGTAGCCCCGCTCCCCGGCCACAATCCCCGTGAAAAGCGCTGCGTCCGCCATGGACGCCACGAACTCGAAGTTCCCAAGCTCGTCCTTCAAGCGCATGTGCGCCACACGCGGCGCCTGGCGCAACCTGGTGCGCTTGAGGCGGCAGACCATGTCCGGCCCAATTTGCTCCTATCCCTGCGGCTGCTGCATGTAGATCTCCTCCTCCAGCTCCCCGTCAAGGAACGCCGTCTTGACATCAAGCTCAGTGC